CTTAAGGCAAATCAATGCACAGATGGAAAAAATGGGCTCCCCTCAAGCTGAGTGACCATACCCAGGTGTTATTCCACCAGGGTGGCATATTCTTATAATAGATATTAAAAATTGCTTTTCCTTAATGCTACTGGCTCCAGAGGGCAGAGAGGGCTTTGTGTTCATTGTCTGGGAGCCCAATTTTCAAAAACCTTTTTCCTGTTATCACAGGAAAGTGTTACCCCAGGGTATGAAAAACAGTCCAATAATCTGTCAGTTGTATGTTCAACAGGCCTTGGCTTGAGTCCCTGATGAGATATTAATGATTTGCTATATGGATGGTATTCTTTTGGCCCACTTAAGCAGACAGAGACCTCAGGAGTTATTGCCCCCACTCCTTGAAGACCAAGGAGCACTTCACCTCAAGGTTGCCCCAGAAAAGATACAGATGCCAATAAGACCAATTTTGGTTTAATAATAACCATGCCTGATGATAAAAAAAAAATGTACTCACGCCCACCTCAACCCAGACTCCGTTCAGTTGGGAGAATTTTTGGCCATCCTTAAAGTATTAGAGTTGAGCCACTCAATGCCCATCAACATTTTTTCAGACAGCCAATACACGATCCAGGCATGTAAGCTGTTATCCTTTGCTAAGGAGCCTTAGAGATCCCATCTCCATAACCATGAAAACAATACAAGACATGCTAGAGAACAGAAGGCATCCATGGTATATATCTCATATTCAATCACACTTGGGATTGCCAGAAATGCTGGCTGCAACATAAAATGATCATGACAGTGTGACTACCAGTGCTAGAGCAGTCCAGGCTCTTACACCAACAGTTCCACCTGTCACCTCATAACCTCCATAAACTTCTGCCTGTCTTGCCCCTGTCCAGTTGTAAGCACCTAGCACAAATCTGTACCACCTGTGCTCCCTAGCACCCTTTGGACCACTAAATGGAGCAACAGTCAACCCCAGGGGCCTAATGCCCAATGCACTGTGGCAAATGGATATTACTCACAACCCACCCTTTGGTAACTTAAAATACAACATGTAATAGTAGATACATACTCCTCATTTACCTTTTCCCTATCACAGACTGGGGAAAAAGCCTCCTAGGCAATCAAGGCATTAAAAAACACTATGATGGTCATGGGAATGACTTGGAGCATAAAAACTTATAACAGCCCAGCATATACCTCTCAACAGTGTAATGTAGATGTAATTCAGTGTAGATGTAGCCAACGGTTTTATCAAACAAGAAACACAGAGCCGATTCAGAGAAGAAAGCCAAGAAGTCAGAGCCAAGAGCCTCACCCTTCCTGATTCAGGGATCCTCCTCAGCCCAGAGAGCTCTCCAAAAAGAGAGCCCTACTTCCTGTGTGTCTGTCTCTATAGTCTCCTTGTTCTGGCTTCTCATTGGTTGTAAACCCAATCATGTGACTGCCTCGTCTCTGCCTGTATGTACCACCCTCCAGGTCCTTAAAGGCGTACGCCACCACTCTGGGACTAGCTCCTTGTCGTCTTTATAGATCAGTAGTTGACAGTTTCAGACCAACTTTTGCTGTCATTTGTTTCTTTGGCCTAGGATACAGTAGGCAGCGAGTAAATATATTTATATAGCCTGGCCTGAGAAACTTATTCAAGATATGTTAATAAGGTAAATAAAATTTTTCTTCGTAACAGCTTTTTTCTCATTTGTTACAATTGGAATAAGCCACATCTGTTAAAACAACAGCTTTGTTGCTGTTTTTGTTGTTGTTTGGTTGTTGGTTTGGGTATAAACAACAAAACAGTTTTTAGTAAGTAAAATATATAAATAAGTTTGAAAATGATCCTTATTGCTTAGCAAATAAAACAAAATTTGGTGTTACTGAGGAAAGAACTAGTATAAGTAAATATAGTTTTGATTCATTTATAGCCAACAAATTACCATAAAAATAATAATTATATGACTCTAGGTTGTCCAGAGAAACAGAACTGTGTGTGTGTACGTTTTATATTTATTATATGGCTTCTGACTTTGGCTTATAAACTTACAGGATATAGTGATGGACACAGAGAAGTCCTATAAGTTATACAAAGCAAGCTGGAGAATCTGGAGGGCTGGTGATATACTATGACTGAAAGACCTAGGAACTAGGAAAGCTGTCATTTGAAGTTTTAGTTCAAATCTTGACTCCAAGTCCCAAGGAAGAAGAATGATGCCCCATCCAAAAACAGGCAAAGAGCAAATTCTCCCCTACTCCACTTCCCTAGGACGAGCTGAGGCCTCCTACATTCTGTAGGCGATCTGTTCTACTTAGTCTGCCTATCCCAAACCAACTTTCGCTTACATTCCTAGAATAAATTTTTAACCTAGTCTGTTATCACTCAGGGAGGATGATACAGAGAAGCAGTAATTACAGTCATAGTACATAATGTAAGCTTAACTTGAAGATGAACTTTAGAAATCCTTTTTTAATTTAAATTTATTAGTTTGAGAATTGCATACTTGAGTACTATATTTACAACATTTCCCTCCCTGTCCATGGTGCAACTCTTCCCATGTCCCTTCTATTCCTTCTCAAATTCAAGACCTCTTCTTTAATTATTAGTTACCTATATGTGTATGCATAGACACTCAGACTCACACACAAAATTTACTGAATCCATTTAGCATTGCTTGTATATACAATGCATTTAGGGCTGATGACTTGGAATTTGATAGCTATCAGGCAGCAGCTCCTCTCCAGAGAAAATTGATTCTCCTTCTCTCAGCAACCTTAGATTGCCTATAGCTCTTCATCTAGGAATAAGGCCTTGTGAAATTTCCCCTCTTGCGTTGACATATTCATTAGTGTTGTCATTATGCAGGTCTTATTTAAGCAACCATAGCATTGAAATTCCCTGGGAACAGCCTGTCGTGTCTAGGAGACACTGTCTAGCAACACTGGCTCTCTGGCTTACACTTCCATCTCCTCTTCATGGTTTTTCCTGAGCCTTAAGTACAAGGGTTGCATTGTAGGTGTAGCAGCTGGGTTTGAGCATCCCTTTATGTTTACCACTGTAGTGCAGTGATAGTCTCTACTGTTGTAAAAAGAAGCTTCTTTGGAAAGGGGGGAGGGCTGCACTTACTCGTGAGTAGAAGGATGAGCGTTTTGAACACAGCTAGATTATGGTGGTTTAGGAAAATACCAATAGTAGATTCCCCTAATATTGCCTATTCAAAATCAGCCTAATTTTAGAAATGTTGTAATTCATTCTTGTTTTAAATAAAATTTTCATTTTAATTTCTAGAATAATGTTTTGATGGGAAATTATTGACAACAGTTTCTGCTGAATTACAGTTGAAAACATGAAGACTTGGTGTAGTTGTTTGGGAAAATTTTCAGGTGCAGAGGAGTTTTCAGTCTAAAACATAGATTTGGTGGATGGAGAAAATCTTTCATGTGATGGTACAGAGGAAGGCAGGCTGCCTTGTGCAACTCTCTCTCCTAATATTCTCTTCAAAGTGGCCTCACAAGGCTGTGCAGTGAGGGTAGTAACCCTTGTCAATCCAGAGAGAAGAGGTATAGGTTGTGCTGCCAGAAGGGTCTGGGAGCACGGTGCACAATTTCTACCACTGAGGCCTGGCAGGAGTCAGGAAGATGGGGTAAATGGAAGCCGTTGGCATGTCTCCTGTTTGACTCTGAAATGTGGTAATAGAAGTACAACACTGCCAATGATAACCAGGTAGAAAAGACAGAGTTCCTGTCTGCAAGGAGGTTAAGCCGGAGGGGGAGCCAGAACTATCAAGAGATGACTGTATCATTATGTGAACAGGGGCTCCATAGATAGGGGCTGAGAGGGCAAATAAGACAGAGAAAGGGAAGACACTATTCCTGAGTTCTCTTTCCCTTTCTGTAAAGATTCCTCTACTTCCTCAGCTGCATCAGAACTCAGGTCTGCCGAGCTTGAAGGTGTCCCTTATAAGTTCATGCATTGGAAACTTTATCCTTCTGCCCTCCTAAATGGACTAATAGATCATTGAGATCTCTGCCCTCAGGAATGGATTAATGTCACTATCATGCTGTCCTCAACCAAATATGGAACAGAAAGCCCCTCACTACATGCTGGCAGATGCTGGCACTCTACACATGGACTTCCCAGCCAACCAAACATTAACCTTTACACGTCTAGTCCTTTTAAATTACTCAGTCTCAGACATTTTGTTATGGCACCAGAAAACAATCAGAAAAAAGCCTGTTTTTAATATCTTTTTCTTACAATATTCCTTAATGAAAGATTCTTGTGTACCCTTTATAATACACTGTCATTCGTTTGCATTATACATTTCTCACTGCCTCCTCTTGCTTTAAACATTATGAAAAATCTTTGGTAGGCATGATTTCTCAGAGGCAGTTACAAAGGTACTTCTGGGAATAAACTTGGTGTGTCTTTGGAGAGCTGGTTATGAGCTGAATGGAGTCCCCATATTCTTATGCTGAAGTCCTAATTCCAGTACTCAGCATTGGCCTGTTTTGGAATAGTGCATTGCAGGTGTAACTGGTTAAGATGATGTCATAAGAGAGCAGGGAAGCCCTAAGCCATATGACTGGTGTCCTTTAAAAAGTGGATTGTGAATACAGATACACACACACACACACACACACACACACACACACACACACACACACCACAGAATGTCATGTGAAGATGAAAGTAGAACCCAGGGAATACATCTATAAGAAGATGGTTGCAAGCAACAGAAGCTGGAGGAAAATGGGGAGAGTCTCCCTCAGAGTTCCTAGAGGAATCAGCCCTGTTGATCCCAGATTTGAAGCCAGGAAGATCCTATGTACAAGGTCAGCTTGGGCTACCTATCTCAATAAACAAACAAATAAATTTCCTTTCATGTTAAAAGTCAAATGTCATTGTTCCCAGCTTAAAGAATTGTGGCAGCAGACATTGGCACCTGACACAATAAACCCACCACGGAGGCCCACTTTAAAGATCACCACTTGCTTTTTTTCCACAGGGCCCTATGACATACCTGGTCCTGTTTTCCCCAAATGATCTGTGTTGGGACCTTGATCTTGTCCATGTTCTGATGCAGAGAGTATCTGGATTTCTCACTGACAATTTCCAAAAACACTTGTCAGAAAAGAAAAACACAGTGAGTATATGCAGGGTCTGCACATAGGTACCACAAAAGTCAGAGCTTCAAGTCCAGGCCATTACTTCTCTTCAGGGGACCAGAAAACAGGACATGTACAGAGGTTTACAAACTACAAGGCAGCTGGCCGCAAAGCCGCAAACTAGAGCAGGGCTACTTACGTTTCTGGTAGAAACTGTTATGAGGGATGCGAACATCAACAAGGCCTTGAAAGATCTGAGGATGAATAATCCAAGGTTAGAAAACAAGAGAAGTCCCACATCCTCCAGCGTCTTATAGCTCGGGGGCAGCACTGCCTAGGGTTGGGCTTGTGAATCCCCAGAATGTAGAATATAATTGGGAGGCTTTAAAAAACAAACTGAGCTGGAGAGATAGCTCAGTGCTCTTACATAAGACCTGGTTTGATTCTCAGCATATACAAGGAAGCTCACAACCATCTGTAACTCTAGTTCCAAGGGCTCTGATGCTCTCCTCTAACCTCTGTAGGCACTTCATGCATGTGGTGCACAAAATACAGGCAAAACACTTTTCACATTAAAAAATAATAAAAAATTAGGGGGGAACTTGGGAAATGCTGTGAAGCCAGAGGTCTGCATATTATGTTAAAGACATTATAAAGACATTAGCATGGCATCTTGAGAAACTCTTGGTTTAATTCAAGACAAAAATTTGGATAAACAAAATATCAGGCCATTATTCAATGATATCTAAATGCAGAACAAGATTGAACCATCAGGATTGATGATCCTATAAACACTGGCCTAGCATCATGCACCAAGCCTCGACCATCTCCAGCACCACATAAACCTGGTGTGGTACAGCATGCCTATAATCCTAATACTCTAGAGATAGAGGCAGAAGAATTGAGGGTTTAAATTCATCTTCAGTTATTTGGTGAGTTCCAGGATAGTCTGTAATACATAAAAAGACCCTCTTGAAAGAGGAAGAGGAAAAAGAGGAGGAAGAGGAGAAGAAATAAACTATTAAGAAAACTCTGGTGAGAACCCCATAGTTTCAGAGAGCCCAGATTATTGTCTGACATTGCCTTTGTTTTCTTTGCTGAGGGCTGCAGCAAATATAGGTAGGCCCTGGGCTACTAACCCAGATAGGTGGCTATGGCAATTGTAAAGCAGTTCCTTGCCTCAGGACTCTAAGTCAAAGCAGAGGGTTCACAAAGATAGCTGTCATTCCTCTCATTCACCAGAGAACAGGTCTAGACGCCTTCAACATACCTTCTCAGGAGTCTTATGCAGACCAAAGTTGGGAAGACTAGTGTTATGTTCCTCAAAAGGTCATGTACTGAATGCTTGGTCTTCAGCCTGTGGGGTGGGCTTTAGGAGGTGGGACCCACTTGGAGAGGTCATTGAATGATATATTGGGACCCTGGCTCCATCCTTGTCCGGTTCCTGTCCACCATGAGATGAGCAGTTCTGCTCTACTGCATGCTTCCTGCCATGATGTTCTGCCTCACTATATGCTCAAAATGAAGGGGCCAAGAACCCATGGCACTGTCAGGTATTCTCCCACAGTGATAGAAAGCTCACTAATATATTGAACCATGACTGCTTTTGACTAAACCAGCTCTTTTTTTTGTTTGTTTGTTTTTTGTTTTTTGTTTTTTGTTTTTTGTTTTTCGAGACAGGGTTTCTCTGTGTAGCTTTGCGCCTTTCCTGGAACTCGCTTGGTAGCCCAGGCTGGCCTCGAACTCACAGAGATCCGCCTGCCTCTGCCTCCCGAGTGTTGGATTTAAAGGCATGTGCCACCACCACCCGGCGAAACCAGCTCTTTAGAATCCCAGAGGTTCTGAAATTAGCAGCACAGAGGTGAGGGAAATGACTGTTTACTTAATAAACACTGTGCTCCATGACAGATATTTTCTTCTTTCTACTATCCATCCAGTATCCATGCATCCATCTATCCTTTTCCAACTCTGCTTAATTCAGTGGTTCTCAACCTTCCTAATGCTGTAACCCTTTAGTACAGTTCCTCATATTGTAGTGACCCCCAACCATAAAATTATTTTCATTGCTACTTCATAACTATAATTTTGCTACTGTTATGAATTGTAATGTAAATATCTGATTATTTCCTATGGTTTGAGGTGACCCCTGTGAAAGGGTTGTTCAACCCCCAAAAGGGTTGCGACCCACAGGTTGAGAACCACTGGCTTAATTGATGGATCAGTTCATCCATTTATCTTATTTCCCTGAATCATTTATTTATGTCTGTATTTGCTAATCTATCCTTTCTCCACCCCTATACTATCCAGTCATCATCCCATCCCTCCAACCAACCAACCATCCACCCATGGTTCCATCCTGCAGCCTTAAACCATATAAGCATAACATGCATTAACTCATTTATCTATCTTGTACCTATATAACTATCCATTCTCTATCTCTGACACTAAGACATCCTATAATATCCACCATCCATGCAATCTATATAAGTAGGACCTTCTTCATGAAAGTGCACTGCTAAAGTTTGGAGATAGGCAGGCCCTGACAGAGAACAGAGCAGAAGACACACATGAACAAACGAAACCACAAGATGGCCTAATGGACTCAATGGTAGGTGGCCCTACCCTACTGGGAAAGAAAGGCTTCTGAAATCAACATATATTTTCTCCCAGTGTTTTCTTATCCCTGACAACTAAAAGCAAGGAGTCTTCTTTGGTCACAATATTCTAAAGGTATTATAGCTGGAAGAGGACAGTGCCACTTTATGACTAAAAAGATATCAAGGACAGATTACACCACAGACACAGATTTTGGATTCTTCTCCAGAAACGTACTGCACTTATTAACTAAGTCATGGTCACAAAGTCTGTGTAGCATCCATTCTCACAGCTTAGGAGGACCTCACCTCACTCTGAGGCAGGGTTCATTGCTTACAACATAGGAAGATAATCTGGGTTCATAAGGCCGCAGCTGTGGACTTTTTTCTCTACACCTTTTCCTCAAACGACCTCATTCAGACATGACCCTCAATATCTTCCTCTGTCTATGGCTCCTGCTTTATGTTTAGGCCAGAAATCCCTTTGCACCACTTAAATGTCCAACTGCCCATCCCTTGGAAGCCTCAAAAGCAATCTGAACTTAATATATCCAAAAATGGAACTCTCAGCATATGTCCCAAACCTGAAATTCCTCCTCTCCTTTCCCTGTGCAGAAAATGCTACCTTTACCCATTCAGTCTCAAGAACTGGAAGTCATCTATGACCACTCACTTTTCCTCACCTCTACTTCCAACCTGCCCTAAGTCCTGTCCATTCTTCCTCACAACACATCTTAGCTAGTGCTACTACCCCAGTTGGTACCAGCATCACCTCTAAGCCACAGTATATCCCAAGTAGCCTCTGTTTCTATTTGTGTCCTCTACAGTCTTTCAGTGGCTCTCCCATTATGCTTAGAAAAAACAGACTCACTCCCATAAACTACAAGGACATACAAGATCTTCTCCAGAGCAGCTCTTAGGAAACCATGAGGTCACACTGTGATCATACTCAATGACACTCAACATCATTGCCTTTCACCTACATTCTCTTAAAAGCATACTATATATGATAAGATAATATCATCTCTTATGGCAAATGTTTATCTTTGTTTTTTTAATTTTTTTGAGTTTCAATATCAATAAATATAACCCTCATAGATAAAAAGCCCTCCGGGTTCATCCAAAATAATTTTTTTAAATGTACAAGTCTAAGAGTCTTAATTTTTTTAAATTGAGAATGTGATTTAGCCCCTGACTCCATTTCCAACTCCTTTCTCCTTCACTCTCTAGGCTCCAGCCACTTGCTTTTTTCCATTGCCATCAATCTGTGTATGTTTTTTCCACTCTACACATGACCCTTCAAATTACCTTATCAGAGCTATCCCTCCCTCCCCATTTTAAATATTCATACCATCTTCATTTTACCTCTAAAATTTGTCTCAACTTGTAAATTTTTGTCTATTAGTTGTCTGCTTCCTGCATTGGATTGCATCTGCTCAGTTGAAACTCCCTGTGTTTATATTTACCATAGTGTTCAGCACAGTGTCTAACATAATCACAGGTAAGCTACATGTTGAATAATGGAGCAGACAGAATGGAGTCAGAGAGTAGATACAAGAGGCCATGCTGGGGGAGGCTGCATGGAGGGCAAGGGTGTGGCACTGATACACTGTACCTGCTGGGGCACTTTGAATCGGACATAGGAGCAGAGCTGGAGCATCTCACTCATCTCTTCCGGGGTGGATGGGATCAAGGGAATTTTCTGAATGGCAGCTGAGTTGTACAAACTGATTGTCAGTTGAATACTGCAGGCCTGGGATGCAAAACAAAAGAGCCCAATGATACACCTATCAGGTGTATTGTGCCCCTATGTGCAGGAAATGTTCAATGAAAACCCAGGGACTCAGGTTAACATGTCAGGTTTCTTTCACCAGGAGACAATCCTCTTTTTTTTTTCTCTTTGAGACAGGGTTTCTCTGTGTAGATCTAGCCATCTTTGGAACTCACTCTGTAGACCAGGCTGGCCTCAAACTCAAAGATCTGCCTGCCTCTGCCTCCTGAGTGCTGGGATTAAAGTTGTGCACCACCACCACCTGGCTAAGAGATCACTTTTTAATTGGTACTGGCACCCTTGCTCAAAGTAAACATCGTATTCTGAGAATTATAGAAAAAATATATCATCTAAGATATTTTAGGGTTGGAGTTAAGCATGGTGGTACATACATGCCTCAAGAGGTGGAGACAAGAGAATCACAAGTTCAAGGCCATCATGGGCTTACATAATAAATTCTAAGCTAGTCCAGATTAAAACAACAGCATTATGTTTTAGGGCTGATTGCACATACCATGGCCACAGACTAGCAAGATACGCAGAAACGGAGGCTGTCCCCAAGCCTCTTGAGCCAGAACCTGCATTTCCACAAGCTGCAAGGGGGTGAGAATGGCAGAGTATGGGGAGTACCAGATGGTGCCTCACTCGAGCTGTTTTCATGCCTGTGTTATTTCGAGGAGATTGAAGGAAGTGAGAGATGGAAAGAAAGCATGGAGCTGCCATGACTGCAGCTCCCTCCCTTGATCTGGATGCCCTCCCCTCTGTGGCCAATGCATAAGACACAAGAGAGTGTAAGTGCAGCACAAAGGCTCTCTTCCTCCAGAAGAAAATTAGGTGAGGGGTGAGACTCCTTTTGAGACTGCCCACTGTCTCATGACACAAGAGGCTCTGATAGCTAACACTATGCTAGGCATGGCCTGTGATCCCAGAATTTGGGAGGTAGATGTGGAAAGATTATGAATTTAAGGCCAGTCTTGACTACATGAGACCTTGTCTTAAAAACAAACAGGCAGTTGCATCTTTAATACTGGCCATCCTATAGAAAACAACATGTTAGGACCAGGGAAATGGCTCACTGGTAAAGCTCTTGCTGCATAAGTATGAGGATGGAAGTTCAGAACCCCAGAACCCATGCAGAAGCTGTAACAGTCACCTGTAATCTCAACTCTTGGAGATAAACAGGAGACTCTGTGGCCAGCTTGCTAGCTAGACCATCCATAACTGGCAAGTTCCGGGTTCAGCTAGAAGCCCCACATCAACAAATAAAGTGGACAGTGACCAAGAAGATACTCAGCTTCAACTTTGTCTCTTACCCATAAAGAAAACCACACATTATGTATCTATGTCCTGAAAAGTCTGCTGAGATAGTATGCTCCTATAATCCTAGCCACACAAGAATCTGAAGCAAGAGGATTGCAAGTTCAAAGCCAGCCTAGGCTACATACACAGGGAATTAAAGCCAGCCATAGCAAGAACCTAACCTGTGGGATGGGGGGATACATAGAACCTGTCCAGAATTGTCCATATCCAATACTGTTTCACAGTGACTTCTCTTTAATTTTAATCACAGAATATGTCCTTTTAGAGCACAGGCAATTTCATGAGGTAGTCCTAAAAGCTTTCAAAAATGGCCTCATAACTTTCTGTAATAGCCTTTAGAAGTTGTGCTAAGATAACATCTATGTTATAAACAAACTAACTTAAGATGTGGGCGTGCAGCTCAGTAGCAGAGCCCTTGCTTAGCCTGTATGAGGCCCTGGTTTGAAATTCAGCACCATAGAAAGGAAAAAAAAAGTCATTGTTTTTGCATTCAAATGAAAGTTTTGATAAAAAGTCACACCCTGACAGATGATCAAATAATAAAACTCATTTTTTATCTGTTAGCCTTTACATCTCTTCTCTTTTAATTTATATTGTCACTGGCCCCCCCAAAGTCTATATATATATATATATATATATATATATATATATATATATATATATATATATATACATTTTTTGGTTTTTCGAGACAGGGTTTCTCTGAGTAGCTTTGCGCCTTTCCTGGAACTCACTTGGTAGTCCAGGCTGGCCTCGAACTCACAGAGATCCGCCTGGCTCTGCCTCCCGAGTGCTGGGATTAAAGGCGTGAGCCACCACCGCCCGGCCATATATATTTTTTAAGAAAAAAATTAATCTTAGGTTTAATATCTTGTGGTATCCTACACTGGATTCTGATACTCAAAAGCAACACGGGTGGAAAAATGAAGTCAAATTCAAATGAAGCTTGGGATTCAGTTGATAGTAAGGCACCAAGCTCAACTCCTTAGTTGTGACAGGGTCACTGTGGGGATGTGAGCTGTTCACATAGACAAAACTGGGTAAAGGGAATATGGGAATCTGCACTACCTTGGCAATGTTCCTATAAATTTAAAATTATTTCAAAGTTAAGACAAAACTTATATGGAAAAATGTAGGTAGGATGTGATCCTAACTTGTTTCCACCTTCTCACATGCAAACAATCAATCTTAAATTTCCACTGTCTCCCTCCTTCTCTGTGGAGAAGGACAGGTTCCACAGTTAAGTACAGGAGCCACACAGCACCATGCACATGGCCACTGCCTCCCTCCTTCTCTGTGAACCAGGTCTGGCTCCAATTAAGTCAGTCTGGCTATGGTTCTCATCACACAACTGTTATCTGGTCAGAGTTATCACAAAGCATTGTCTATCTCTGAGGTCTATATCAGAAGGGTAACTTTTTAAAGGAGTCATAGCAGAAGCTGTGTGGATGCTTCTTTAAATTCAAGTTACTTGGAAGGTTGTTCTGGTAATGTAACTCACCAGCAGGGCACACAAGACACAGGCTGCAGACATCAGATGGGTAGTAAGCAGCGTATACTCCAGTCACGTGGCCACCCATGGAGGTGCCTATAAGGTGAAAGGGCTTTTTGTTCAGCTTAAGGCACTCTACAAACTAGGAAGAGAAATGAAAAGGAGGCATGATTACAGCTGAGATGTCAGCAGAGCAGAGACCCCTCCCCTCAGTAAAACTGAACACTCTACTGGGTCTGACACTGATTATTACACCCAACATTTAGTTGAGCCCTGTGACATATGTGTACTTTGCTTTATAAGGCACATGTGGCTGTAGGGTCATTTATAAGTATAAATCAAACAACAATGATCCCCTTAAGTCATAAACTGTTCTATAAAGGACCAAGGCATCGATGTTTTTTTTCCTCTCTCTATGGGTCGGCTGGTCTCTGTGGTAACTATTCAACTAGGTTACTGCGTCACAAAAGTTGCCAGAGGCAATACATACCTAAGTAAGCTAAGTAAGCATGGATGTGTTCCAGTAAAATTTAGTTTACAAAAGTAGGTTGACAGCTCTGGGGCGATAGTTTGATGACTCCTGCTTCATTTGAAGCCCTATCTGGCTAGACATGGGTCCAATCAACCATCTACATATTTATCCCTCACTGGAAAAATATTATTAGATATTTATTAGGTACAAGTAACTATGGTTAGCCCTTGAGGAGCCAGACAATAAGCCCTCGTTAAAATATATAGTTTAATGGTGGAGGCAGAAATTATCAACTAAATATTCTTTTTTTTTTTTGAGACAGGGTTTCTCTGTGTAGCTTTGTGCCTTTCCTGGATCTCGCTCTGTAGACCAGGCTGGCCTCGAACTCACAAAGATCTGCCTGCCTCTGCCTCCCGAGTGCTGGGATTAAAGGCGTGTGCCACCACTGCCCGACTCCTAAATATTCTTATTTAGAAAAAAAACATCAATGTGAACGTGAAACTTACAAACTATTCTGTTAAGAAAAGGCTTTATACATAACCTTAGGAGAGAGCCAGAGATGGATACTAAAACACAACAACATGCAAAGAGTTCGCCCCAACCATACAGAAGGAGAAAAACAGACCTCCACAGGGGAACAGTTTTGTAGAATTCTAAATGCCTTTTTAAAGGGCTGAGAAACTGCCCAGATTACATTTCTTCATGTACAAATTGGCAGGAGATGTAACTCAGTGGGCAGAGTGCTTGGTTAGCATGCACTGATTCCTTGATTTGTTATTGATTCCCAGCACCACATAAAATGGTAGTACATTACTGTAATCATTGCACTTGGGAAGTAGAGGCAGGAGGATCAGAAGTTTAAGGCAACTTCCACTACATGATACCCTATTTCAAAAAATAAAACAAAAAATACAATAGGCTTAAAGGAAAACTGACCAAAGATATCCCTAGGCTGCCATTCTGTTTGCAATCACTTAAAGACAGATGTACTACGGACTGGCCATGAGCTAGTGTGCAACTCTTGCCTGCTTTCCATGTGCTGAGAAGATACAATCTGGGCAGTTTGGGTAAAGCCTCCTGCTTACCTGATGTACCCTCTTAACTTGCCCATCTATAGACAGGTCATCCAGGGACGAGCGGGTGGTGCCTTCATGACCAGGCATGTCCATGCAGACCAAGTGCAGGTTCTTCGGAAGGAACTGAAGACCCAGAGCCAGACAGTCAGTATGTGATCTAGAAAAACATGTCTACCCATTTCTCTGGGGAGGAAGCTGCCACCTACTCAATGACTCAGACAGCCACTGAGATTATGTTTCTATGTGTCTTATACATGTGAATAAAGTATCAACAGAGCCTCATATGGAGAAGAGGACCCCAAGACTGGTGCACAGATGAAAAGAGGCTCAGTGGGTGACAGGAGAGAGGATACAAAACTCAGGCTAGCAGGCTTACATCTTGCACTTAATTTTTTAAAATATTTACCATTATGTTTTAGGTATCCATTCTCTCTTTCCACTTTTATGTGGGTTCCAGGGATCAAACTCAGCTTATCAGGCTTGCACTGCAAGTGCTTTTCCCTCCAAGGTAACATCTGAAAACTTCTTAATACTGTTTGCTCAGTACTATTTCCTTCCCTTCCATGCTACACTTCCTAGGGAAAGGCATTGCTCCTTTTGGCTCTGGACCTGGCCAGGGCTCTGGGAACCATCTCTTCTAGTTCCAGGACAACAGCCACATGGCTGGAGGAAGTGTTGTCCTGGAACTAGAAGAGATGGTTCCCAGAGCCCTGGCCAGGTCCAGAGCCAAAAGGAGCAATGCCTTTCCCCAAAGCCATAAGGCTGGTTTCAACTTTCTTTTTTCCTTCATCAGGGTCTAATTATTGAGATGATGATTCTCCCAAATCACCTTTCCTCTATGTTTAAAAGATGCACCAACTTTAGCCATGAGTCTGAGAAACATTAGTTATCAAAGATGTTTACTGAAGAGGGGACAAAAAGGATTAAGGCTTGAAGATGGCTGTCCTCATGGTGGCATTTGGAAAGAACACAAATAACCCAATGACATGTGCACTTTTCCACTTTTCCTCCTAGTGACACTTACGATCTTTCAGATATTGTCCCATTTGAAGTAGGAACCTGGGATGCTGCTCTCTCAAGACAAACACCAGCCTCAGTCCCGCCCCCTGTCCCCCATTAGCTGGCCACTCTTCCAAAGTACAGTGAGAGGCCACACAAGTCAACAGTACAAAAAGTGACTTGGAAAAGGATTCTAAAAAGCTGCCAGATCAAGACCATTTCTCTAAATGATTAAGGAAAAGAAAAAAGAACAAATAGCAGAAGGAAGAGGATTTTGGGGGTAGGCAGGGAAAGGAAAAGAATGTTTAAGAACAAACACTTTTGGAAAAGGCCCAGCCTTGACCACCATCATGGCAGTTCTGAGGTAGAGCTGTGCTGAAACATCCCCAACCCTCCCCATGCCTAAAAATATCTCCATGGTAAGAAGATTCCAGAGACACAGTTTTTAAAATACTACCCAATCAATTCTGTAATGCAAAAAAAAGAGTCTCAGTAATATATTATATATTTCATTAATTTAAAGATGAATTTGAACTGTGGTCCACCCCTTTTAAGAGAGAAGAGTCTGGAAGTGTACCTTGACTACACTGAGCCACATATCCTTGTGTGCAGAGAATCCATGGAGCATGAGGATGGACGGTTTGTGTCCTGGCCTGCCCCGGAAGGAGTAACAGAACTGATAGTCCTCATGGTGTACATAGCGGACTTGCATACCCAGTGTCCTCCGCCAGTACCTAGGGTGAAGAAAGGCAAGACACAAGCAGCATGTTCAGGGTACGTGGCTTTGGGAGGGGCACAGGTTCTCTCTAGAGATACTACTTGGTGGCAATATAACTCCAAGCCATATCTCCCAGCTCTTGTCCTTTACTTCCCCCTCAAGGAGCACTAAGAAGAGAAGTATGTTACACATGTTTGGAAAACAGAAGGGGACCAGCACAGTGTGTATGTGTGTGTGTTGGGGGTGATGATGAGTGGATAGCAGAGAGTAACAGGATCAATATACATTACATACATGCATGGAAATGTCGTCATAAAACTCAATATGCTGTGCAATTAATATATGGTAATAAAGAAATGAAAAAACTAAAAGTAATAAAGAACTAGCACCTGAATGAAAAACAAAACAGGACACCACACACAACACATTTTTTGTGAGACAGCTCTCAAGGCTCCAGAACTCAGTGCTCAAGACCTACATGCACTGACTGTTCTCTGGCTTTGTTCCTCACAGCATATGGCAACGGCTGAAGGCTCAGCTTCTATTAGTTATATAAGCCTTGGCAAGGCTGTAGTTTGGCCCCAAGTCTATTTCAATACAAAATTACCATTGAAACAAATTGAACTCTCAGCCTGCAAAAAAATCTCTTCAAAGATGAAATGTAATTAAATCATCCCAATATCTTCTCTCTAATAGACTTTTACCACAGTAACAACCAAGTCTTGCAAAATCAAGTGACCAAAACAGTGTTTGTTTTGTGTTACCTAAGGGAAAAAAGAAGTCAAGCTATATTATCACGTTTACCTGTATCTACAAGGCACTATCAAGGATCTGGAGTGGAAGCAGAGAATGAGGTGAAGAGTAGGAAAGGAAACAGAGGGACCAGCGAGAGCTAGAAATACATTCCTTTTGATCCTTTTGCAATGACTGCATTGCCTACTCAAAACATTAAAACAATAATAAAATTGGCTAGCATAAGGCTCTTTATAGGAAAAAAGTAGGCCTATTTCATTACTCTAAGTAATGGTTCCATACACACGGGCCATATCTAGTTCAACTCTGCTTAGGAAACTGACAAGAACAGTAGATTCTCTTGCGTCCAATACACTGCACTTGCTGGGAACAGACGCGAGTGCTATTTGCACTGTGTATGGCCAATTGAGCACAATAGTGACTCTCCTTACCAGAAAACAAATCTTGCTGCTAGGACCAGACACTGCATGTGATTCAACTCCGTTTATGAAAGGGAATTCAACTCTAGCTCGCCTTACAAGAAACACACTCTGCTTTTAAGAAGACAGCACTCTTCTACTCTACAGTGTTTCCTATAGAGCCAGAACAGTCAGCTTGCTCAGAACAAAAGAACTGTGCTTCCTACACATACGGGCCATATCTAGTTCAACTCTGCTTAGGAAACTGACAAGAACAGTAGCTTCTCTTGCGTCCAAAACACTGCACTTGCTGGGAACAGACGCGAGTGCTATTTGCACTGTGTATGGCCAATTGAGCACAATAGTGTCTCTCCTTACCAAAAAACAACTCTTGCTGCTAGGACCAGAAACTGCATGTGATTCAACTCCGTTTATGAAACAGAATTCAACTCTAGCTCATCTTATAAGAAATACACTCTGCTTTTGAGAAAGCATCACTCTTCTCTACTGTGTTTCCTATAGAGCCAGAAGAGTCAGCTTGCTCAGAACCAAAAAACTGTGCTTCCTACACACACGGGCCATATCTAGTTCAACTCTGCTTAGGAAACTGACAAGAACAGTAGCTTCTCTTGCGTCCAATACGCTGCACTTGCTGGGAACAGTCACGAGTGCTCTTTGCTCTGTGTATGGCCAATTGAGCACAATAGTGAGTGACTCTCCTTACCAGAAAACAACTCTTGCTGCTAGGACCAGAAACTGCATGGGATTCAACTCCGTTTATGAAAGGGAATTAAACTGTAGCTCGTTAAAAGAAACACACTCTGCTTTTGAGAAAGCAGCACTCTTCTACTCTACTCTGTTTCCTATAGAGCCAGAACAGTCAGCTTGCTCAGAACAAAAGAACTGTGCTTCCTACACACATGGGCGATATCGAGTTCAACTCTGCTTAGGAAACTGACAAGAACAGTAGCTTCTCTTGCGTCCAATACACTGCACTTGCCGGGAACAGACGCGAGTGCTATCTGCACTGTGTATGGCCAATTGAGCACAATAGTGACTCTCCTTACCAGAAAACAACTCTTGCTGCTAGGACCAGAAACTGCATGTGATTCAACTCTGTTTGTGTAAGGGAATTCAACTCCAGCTCGCCTTACAAGAAACACACTCTGCTCTTGAGAAAGCAGCACTCTTCTACTCTACTCTGTTTCCTATAGAGCCAGAACAGTCAGCTTGCTCAGAACAAAAGAACTGTGCTTCCTACACACATGGGCGATATCGAGTTCAACTCTGCTTAGGAAACTGACAAGAACAGTAGCTTCTCTTGCGTCCAATACACTGCACTTGCCGGGAACAGACGCGAGTGCTATCTGCACTGTGTATGGCCAATTGAGCACAATAGTGACTCTCCTTACCAGAAAACAACTCTTGCTGCTAGGACCAGAAACTGCATGTGATTCAACTCTGTTTGTGTAAGGGAATTCAACTCCAGCTCGCCTTACAAGAAACACACTCTGCTCTTGAGAAAGCAGCACTCTTCTACTCTACTCTGTTTCCTATAGAGCCAGAACAGTCAGCTTGCTCAGAACAAAAGAACTGTGCTTCCTACACACACGGGCCATATCTAGTTCAACTCTGCTTAGGAAACTGACAAGGACAGTAGCTTCTCTTGCGTCCACTACACTGCACTTGCTGGGAACAGTCGCAAGTGCTATCTGCACTGTGTATGGCCAATTGAGCACAATAGTGACTCTCCTTACCAGAAAACAAATCTTGCTGCTAGGACCAGAAACTGCATGTGATTCAACACCCTTTATGAAAGGGAATTCAACTCTAGCTCACCTAACAAGAAACACACTCTTCTTTTAAGAAAACAGCACTCTTCTACTCTACTGTGTGTCCTACAGAGCCAGAACAGTCAGCTTATTCAGAACAAAAGAACTGTGCTTTCTACACACACGGGTCATATATAGTTCAACTCTGCTTAGGAAACTGACAAGAACAGTAGCATCTCTTGCGTCCAATACACTGCACTTGCTGCGAACAGACGCGAGTGCTATCTGAACTGTGTATGGCCAATTGAGCACAATAGTGTAGTGGGTAGCCATTCCAGCTTTGATCTGGAAGTTCCAACCCCCATTGAGACTTCGGCAACTGTCACGCCTACAAGGCGGGGCGAAAGGAGGTGCCTGGGGACCCGAGATCTGGATCGGCGGGCTCTCTCTCGGTTGCGGGACCCTGGACTGGAGAGGTGTACCAAGCAGAGCTCCAGAGAACACCGCTGGACTGCGATACACCTTCCCCAGACTCCGCGACCTACCTATCCCTTAATTTGTAAGTTACGCCATTAAATAAATCTCCTTTTAACTACGTGGAGTGGCCTTAATAATTTCACCAATATCTGGCGCTCACGTGGGGCAAATTCCAAAGGCCTGGGTGGCTCCCACCCTCAGCCTCCTCCCCAGCTGGCGGGGTACCTAAACCTGCCTGCAAAGTTCCATATAACCAGGGAACACCTACAGGGTTCCATTCTCTAAAGAGGGAGCAGCTAGTCCGGTCTCAGTTCCCTAGCTTAGCCCCGAGACCAGCGAAAGAGGCACTCCCAGGCTTCCCGAGTGCCGGCGCCGGCTCCGGCTCCCGCCATCTTGACTCCAGCGAGCTGCAGTCAGCCAAGATCACCAGCAGGCCCTGCTTTGGAGCTGTACCAACGCCACCTGCTGGCTGAAAAGTACTACTACACCCCCCAAAACCACGAAAGGTAAGCAAAGGCACCTGATAATTTTACACCTTAAAATTGACTAACAAATTTGGGTAATTCTTGTAATATGGCTGACAACATTACCTCACAAGAATTCGAAAACCTTTTTGCTTGTATGATGAATGACATCTTCCTGGAAATATACGACCTTCCTAAGGCATATCTGGCCTGTACCATTTTGGCATTCATTGTAATAATCCACACAGTGTTCAAACACTGGTTTAATAACAAGAACAAAGATGAGTCATTATTGGGACTGATACAGGCTTTAAGCGAGAGCAATGAAGGCTTACAGAAAAAGATTCTATCTCTGGAATCTGCTTTAAGGGATAGCAATGAGACCTTAGAGAGAAAGATTCTTTCTCTGGAATCTGCTGATCAGGATTTACAAAACAGGCTTGTACCAAAAATTGATCTTATTGATAATAAATGTGAATATTTAATGGACAGAACACTAACTCTCCAGACACTATATAAGGAAGAAAGATTATCATTAATTGATAAGATAAGGTCCATGGAATCATGTGTTTCTGAGGAACATAAAAACTTCTATGATTCCATGAGGAATCTGGAGTCCCTTGCCAGAGAGGAGGCTCACTCCATAGAACAGACCCTAGGTGCTCGTTTGCAGGCCTTAGAAGAAACTCTCAGTAAACATGACAAGGGACCTAATAAGCAGAAGGGCAAGACCATAGAGGTTGTAACATCTCCAAATGGCTCTCACACAATGGCTTATCCTGTTATCATCCATGAGAAGCCAGCGGATGACACACACCCTGAGCCATATAATACATATACATTACAACCAATTTCAACAAGGGACTTTAAAAATATAAAGGAAGCAGTAGTTACATATGGGATACACTCCACGTACGTAAAACAGATATTAAATTCGTGGTCTACCTCACATAGAATCATCCCAGATGACTGGCATCAGTTAATTTCAGCTGTTCTAGAATATAGCCAGCAGCTACAGTGGAAAAGCTGGTTGAGAGAAGAGGCAAAAATTTTAGAACAACAAGGCAAACTCAGAGGTTTCGTGATCTCTCAAGATCAAATACTTGGTGAGGGATGTTTTGCTGACGGGAATGTACAAGCCATTTATGATGA